TGAGCTCCTGGCGTTTCAGCCCCGCATCCTGCCCGCTGCCACCCCGTTTCCGCGCCGTGTCCCCGGGGCGCTGCCACCCACGTCCCTGGACGGCGTCCGCTGGTGTTGTCCTCCCCCTGTCCGGGCTGGCACCCACCGCGTCCCTCCCGCGCCCGGCGCTCGCTCCCCGCGTTTCCTCACCCTCCTTCGGCGCCCCCCGGGCTGAACTCCCCCGTTCACACGGCCGGTTTCCGCCGTGTTCCCGGGCCAGATGCCCCCGCATCCCCGGGCCGGCTCCCACCGCTCCTCTTATTTCGCTTCCAGACGATCGGAGCCGCTTTCGTGGCCAAGGTGATGAGCGTGGGGGACCAGACAGTGACCCTGGGCATCTGGGTAAGTGCAGGGCTCTGCCAGCGCCCCGCTGACATCCCTGGCCACCCCCTGGGAGCCCTGAGCCCCTTGGACTCCTGTCACCTGCCGAGCGCTTCCCTGTCGCCCCCAGGACACGGCGGGCTCGGAGCGCTATGAGGCCATGAGCCGCATCTACTACCGGGGAGCCCGGGCTGCCGTCGTCTGCTACGGTAAGGGCACGGAGAACGGGAAAGGGAAGGAGCCGGCGGCTGCAGAGGTCCCAGGGTGGTGGTGGTGACACCAGTGTGTCGGGCACTGAGGAGCAGTGTCAGCAGACCCCAATTCCTCTCCCCAGATCTCACTGACAGTGGCAGTTTCCAGCGAGCCAAGTTCTGGGTGAATGAGCTGCAGAACTGTGAGGAGGTACAGGGGGCCAGGGGGCTGTGAAGCCTCACCACAGGACAGGGGGTGCTGGTGGTGGGGACATGAGCACACCCCTCCCAACCCTTTTCCTGCCCCAGGGCTGCCGGATCTACCTGTGTGGCACCAAGAGTGACCTGCTGGAGGAGGACAGGAGGAAGCGGGGCGTTGACTTCCACGATGTGCAGGACTACGCTGACGGTACGGCCGCTGCTGGCCCTTCCTGGGCTCATGAGCATTGAGTGGCTGGGGAGTGAGGGAGGATTGAGCTGCTGTGTCCACACGAGGAGCTCTGCCCTTGCTGTGTGCCCACACATTGAATAATGGCACCAGGGCTCCCTGTATGGGACCTCCCTGGGCACAGCATGTCCCGACATGGGCAGGCACGTGGCCAGCTGGGCCAAGGGGCCGGGAGCCCTGTCCTGGGTCCCTGCCAGCCCGCTGTCAGCAGCTGTGCCCAAGGGGTGACTCTGGGGGCAGACAAGCCTGTGGAGCCATATCTGCTGCACCTGTAGCAAGTGCCAACCTGGGTTCTCATTTCAGAGATCAAAGCAGACCTCTTTGAGACCTCCAGTAAAACGGGCCAGAGCGTGGGTGAGTAGCTCCTCACTGGGGCTGTCCTGGCTGAGCAGGGCTGGGGGCTCTTCCTGGCAGCGGGGCACCCACACCTGCCATGCCTCCTGTCCCCCCAGACGAGCTGTTCCAAAAGGTGGCTGAGGACTATGTCAACTTCTCTGCCTTCCAGGTGATGACAGGTGAGTAGGCAGGACCTGTCCCTCCCCAGGCACCTTTTCCTGTGCCTCTAGGGAGGGTGCAGAGCATGAGCTTTGGGGGTCTGGCAGTGCTACCGTTGGGGTTGCTGTGGCTCCGTGCCAGGGATTGTGTCGTGGAGTTTGAGTTCCATCACAGCATCCTCATGCAGCACATCCACCCAGCTGGATCATGGTGGCCTTTGGCAGCCAGGAGCCTTGCTGGGCTGCAGGACAGGCTCAGCTCTGCACCAGCCCTGCCCAGGCATGCTCAGCCTGGCTGTGCCTCCCGCCCTGGGCTGTGCCATGGCTGTGAGCTGTGCCATGACCCTGAACCTCTCCACTTCTCCATGGGAAACCAAACCCTCCCCAGGGGACCTGCTGGGGCCCACAGCTGGGACCAGCAGCTTTGGTGGCGTGGATGTGCCAGCAGTCTGCCGCTCCTGCTCTCTTCCAGAGGACAAGGGTGTCAACCTGGGCCAGAGGAACAGTCCCTACTTCTACAGCTGCTGCCACCACTGAGCCCCTGTGCCAAAAGGGAATCGCTGCTGCCGGATGGGCAGCTGGCACGTGCTGGACTGCTCCAGTTTTTTACCTGCTGTGTTTTAGCTGTTTGTGCCTGGCTGCAGCACAGCCTACGGACTGCTCTCCTGGCACACAGAGCGGCACAGGGCTGCCGTGCACTGCCGGGAATCATGGACTGTCACCCTGGGGACCCCCCTCCCTGCCACCTGTGGCGTTTGTGGGAGCTGTGGTGGCCCAGTGGTGGCCAGTAACTTATTCTCTCAGAGATGCTCGATTCTTTGCAGATTTATTTAAGCGTCTTCTCTCGAGGTGTACAATGTAAATAAAACGCGTTGTGGTCTGAGCCGTACCCCTACGCGTGAGGCTGTCAGGGCTCTCCTTCCCTGCCTCCCCCCACTCAGCAAGACAAACCACAAGAGGACATCGAGAGTAAAGTTAAACTTTACTTTACAGTAATTTTTCTTCTATATACAAAGAATTACAGTACATGTTCTGGGAGCACCTGGGCAGGGCAACCCTCTTTTCATTATAAGTTTCACATACACAGCCAACAGTCTAAGGGGAGCAAAATGAAAGTAATCAATGGTCCAAGACTCTCCCCTCTCCCTCTTCTAAAAATAATATACATGCTGGAAATATGTAGTTTTCTCTCACCTGCTCTGACATTCCTTCTTACAACTGACAGACAACTCCTGGCCAGGGCTGAGCACCCCCTTGTCCCCCCTGCAGTGCTCCAGCTCCGGCCCCTGCCTTGGCTGGGATCTTTGACTCCTGGTGTGTTTCCCTCTGCCTGAGCCTGCAGAAGGGGAGCCTGTGGGGGACCCCCATTTGCTGCCACTGCGGGCAGCAGACCTCACAGGGGAAGGAAGGCAGCGTGGGGCTGCTCACACCAACTTTCTGTTCCTCCCACAAGCAAACTTCTCACTCACGGCTCCAGAACAACTTACGCTGCTGCCACGAGTGGCTCCCCATGTCCCCGGGCAGTGAGAAGGGGCAGTGGGCAGCCACCCTCCCCAGGGCCCTCGGCTTGCTGGCAGCCAGGACCCCAGCCAGGAACACACAGTGCTGGAGGGTGGCAGGGGACATTAAAAGCGAGGCACGGTGCCCAACACGGTGTCCTGGGGACGAGCAGGCTGGTGGGGCAGTGCTTGGCACCAAGGATATGCAGGGCTGGGAGCTCCACTGCTGAAAGGCTTCCATGGCCCCTCGCAGGGAGAGCCACTCCCTGCCGCTCCTGATGCTGCCAACACATCTCACATCTCACCTCCCACCCACGCCAGCCGGGGCCACCCTCAGCTCCAGCCACGCTCCACCTTGAGCCTCCCAGTGCTTGCTGCTTTTCCTTTTAACAAGTTCCCAGTGTGTAAAAAAATACACAAAACCCAGTTCTTTGAAGTCAACAACTCGGAAACATCAGAAAAAGAAACAAAAACTGAAACCAGCTCAGTACCAAACGGACACAAAGAACATGCAGTAGCAGATGCCTGCTTGCTTCACGTGGCTCCACGGGCTCCCCATGGGGCTCAGTGACACACTGGTTTGAGTCTCAAAACCACCATAAACTGAAGGAACCGAGTCACTCCTTATCCTGTTTCAGTCACACGTGCTGAAGCCCGGCCCCAGCTCCAGGGGGATGGGATCAGCTGGCCAAGAAGCCCCAGCCCGTGGGCCAGGAGCCGTGAGTCCAGCCCTACTGTGCTAAGCTGCCAACGGTTTACAATAGCACCACAATAGCCCAAGGGCTTTGCCAAGGGCAAACTTGATTAAAACTTTACCTTGAAATAGGCCATAGTGACACCCATTTCTCAGATTTCCCTAGGAGGTAGATTCAGTGCTGTAGGGACTGTCCATCACTGCTGCTCCTCCAGCCCAAGCTCACACAATCTGTCCTGTCCCCCCTGGCACCAAACTTTGCTTACATCACTTTTGTAGGACCCGGAGCAGGAATCTTGCGTTCCCCCATCTCCTGCTAAGCAAGGGCACTGCCATCCCACAGCTGAGACTCCTGCTGAAGCCAGGTGTGTGGCAGAGCAGTCCCCAAGCTCCAGTGTCCCGTGTCCCAGGCCCTGGGAGCCCCAAGCACCCATCAGCCCAGCTGTGCTGCTGCAGGAGGAGCAGCCTCGGCTGCAAATGCTGCTACCAGCGTTATCACTATCACAGGAGGGTGGGTAATTAGTGCGGGCAAAGCCTGGGAGATCAAACACAGCATCCCCCCATACTTTCAGAGTAGCTGCACAATTTGCCACTTTGCTTTAACACTCACTGGCTAGCAAAGGCCGAAAGCCTCATCAGTAATTAAGGGCAAAGCACTTTACAAGCAGGTTACAATTATGGTTATTCCAAACATCAAGCAAAATCAGAAGTTAAGGCTGAAATTAAAAATAAACAGAAGGTGTTGAAGGTCTGAGGTTTCTCAAACTCCCCCTGCCGTCACAACACTGGCTGTGGTGTCCCGACAGGAGCTGGGCACACACACACAGCACGCTCAGGGCTACCACACAGCCAAGAGCATCAAGGTCAGGGCCGCTTTTTCTTTTTCTTTCTTTTTCTTTTTTCTGTGAAACTTAGCTGAAGCTTTTATAGCAAATGCACCGTCTCACCTTAGTTCTTTAATGTCCTTTACATTAAACAATCTCTCTTATCTCCCAAATTTTAACACCAGCCACACCTTCAGAGCCTCTGCCTGCAGGGGTTTAACCCTGAATTAACTCGTGCTCCCATGGTACCACCCAGATGCTTTGTGTATTGAAGTGACTCTGGTTCCGGGTGAGCTTTTTTTTTGTTAAATAGGAAAAGTTTAACTGGAGAATAGCAATAAAGCAAGCTATCATGAGCTAATTTGCATCTGGAGACGTGCAGTAGGTGAGGTGATTATTCCTTCCAGTGACAATTCTCCTGCTAGATTCACCAGAGCCCTGGCTGACAGTGGGCACCAGGGAATATAGAACAAGTGGCCCAGGACAGTGGCCCGTGCCTGCTCCCCTCCTGCCCACACATCCCACAGGTCCTGTGGTGTCTCCTCCTCTGCAACCCTCAACCCGAGGGGGGCACAAGGCCCTGGCCACGCTGTTATCCCTCATCAGAGCTCCTCTGTCACCAAAGGGCAGCTGGGACTCTCCTGCCCACAGTGGAAATCCAACACTAAAGTGGGTCTGGAGGTGGGGTGGAGGTCACAGCCACTGACCCCAGCCCACTGCTCTGAGCAGGGGCAGCAGTTTTCCTGGCAGCAGGATGTTGACCAGCAAAGTGTTCATGTATGAGCAGAGCCTGCATCTCCTTCAGAAATGGGAAGAGGGAATGAGTCTGGAAAATTCCTGTGAGCCATTGTGGGACACCAGGGAAGGGACAGAGATAATTACACCCTTGATTCTGCTTCTACAGTGCTCCACACCAGTGAATCAACACAGAAGTCACCTCTCACCCACCTTAGGTGCAATTAGGGCTGATCCAGGACTAAATGACCAGGTGGATTGTATCCCTCCAACACAGCAAGAGAGCATCACAGCCTTGGCATGAGGCTGCTGCACAGGTGTGACCCCAGCACGAGGCTGCAGCAGCGTCTCTCTCTCAGAGTCTGCCAGGGGTATGGGTTACTTTGCCTCTACCATCTACTTTTAAAATCCCTCGTGATTCAAACTGGCTGCATTCTGAAGGCAACAACAAACAGCAGCAAACAAACCCAACTGCTTCAACACAGACATGTCCCTCTCCTCCTCCAAGGCAGTGCTGCCAGCTGCCACCACAGTGAGTCACCGTGAGTACAGAAGATGCCCGTGTTTCCTTCACAAGGGTTTTGCTGCCTGAAGCGGTTCCCCAGCTCAAGCTCCCTGATGAGGGCAGGCTGGACAAGGGCAGGGCTGCTAGGACCTTTCTCTACAGCTGGTCAGGCCTTGTCTATGTGACACACAACAGCCCTGACACTCCCAAAAACACTACTACTCCCTCTGAAAAGCCCCCCTGATCTGATAGACCACCACCCAGGGCTCCAGCGAGGACAAAGAGGGAAGAGCAGCTTCCTGGCTTCTTCCTTCAATGATGTTCCTCAACACCAGTTTTGCCAAGCAGCCTCCTAGCTATGCTGAACTCAAACTTCCCAACAGCAGCCGCAAGGCAGCAAGCCAGAAACCTGGATCCTTGTGGAAAAGGGAGACAAGAACAGAGACAGTAGCTGCAACAAAGTAGGCTGTGGGAAATGCCATGCAACTGTTTAATCCACATTCACTGTTCCAAACAAGCTTTTGGGTAAGCACCTGCTGGCATGAAAGGCGGCTGCCATGAGCCTCACCCTGCTACGCGAGCCCGCGATTTACAGAATTCTTTTTTTTTTTTCAAACCTGCTCTTGTGAGAATTCACTGAGAACTTCTCCATTTTACAGATTTAAAAAAGCCTGCACCAAAAATATTCACAGTTTATTTTTTCATGAAACAAGTAACTAGTTAACACGTGACAATGCGAAGCGGAGGTGGACAGAGCAGTGCAGAGACCTCTCTGGTTACAGCGGGAGCTAGCTGGGTGCTGGCACTGAGGAAACCCTACTTACACAATCTACATGACTAAGTCCAGCTCATGGGAAGGCTTATAAATGTAAATTCAAGATTTATTTTCCTTCTCACACATGATAAATACTTAATATACTGAATGTCGTAATTTTTTTAAAAAAATTTTATTCAAAAACCTTAATGAATGCCCTTAAGGTAATCTCTCTCAACGGATCTGAGTTGTCCTGATTCCCTTTGTGGAGGAGTCACGCAGAAATGCAAGCTGCTTGCATTTCCCTAGTTTCAGCAGCAAGCAGGAACTGACCTGCCAGTCTTCCTGGAAAAAAACAACATTAAACAAGTAAGTTTCCATAAGCCATAAAGCTTTTCCAAGTCGTGAGCTATTCTACAAAGGATCTGAAATGATTTGGACTAGAGAAGAGATGCACCATAGCACTGGTAATGTCCCCCTGTGCCCAGCACACCCGGCCTTTTACAGCAGGACGTTGTCTCAGGGTGCACACATCAGGAAAGGAGAAGGGATCGGGATTTGTCTTGGTACAGGTGTCTGTCTGCCTCCCTTCATAGAAAACTGCAAAGCTCATGACCGTCTGCTCTGGGAGCAGCAGGCATTTGCAAGTCAGGAGGGAACAAGGACCTGCTCCCATGGTGGAGGAAGGAGGTCAGCATGGGGCTGAACTCTCCCTGCCTGGGAGGGGCCTGTGGATCTGCCCGAAGGAGAAGGATACACACACTGGAGCTGCGCAAGGGTCTGGCAGCGGCACAGAGATCCGAGGCTGCAGCCCCAGATCGGTGGAGCTCAGGTAATTACAGAGGTAATGTGTTGTGAGAGTGGGAAAAAGCTGGTCA